AACATCAAGGGAGGAGAAACTGCTTTTGTAGTTTTAGTCTATAAGGTGCCACAGGACTCTTTGCTGCTTTTACAGATCCAGACTAATATGGCTAACCCTTTGATGCAAAACTAAAGTGAGAGTGGAGTTAAGTCCAAAGTGCATGCTGAACAGCTCCTACTAACCAGGCTTTTTGTGTTGTGTGTGTGTGTTTGGAGGTGGTGGTGCTTAGAAATAAGTTGGATTTTTTTTTTTTCTGGCCAACTTGGGCAATAGAGTTAAAGGGAAGTAACTGAAATCCAGTCTTAGGCTGATATGTACTATTGTTATTGTGTATTCTGTAGAACCCAGATCCCAGGTACTAAATGGAATTGCCATGGACTGTACCCTTAAGGAGCTCACAGTGTATAGATAGCTTTACACTGGTGAGCAGTTACTCAGCTGATTAGTCCTATTGACATCAGTACACATTACATTTCAATTGTATGTAGATATCTAGTTGACTTACGTTAATATTGCTGAGTTCTAATTTAAAAACAAAACAAGGGGCTTGTCTTCACTGCATTGTTATCTTGAGGAATAACTTGAATGTTGTCCCTTACCTGACTCAGGTCTGCACACAAACATCTCTAGCTAAAGTCAAGTGGTGCATTAAGCTTGAGGTAGGGGCCGGTGGCCTGTTGGGATGGATGGGTTGAAGCTTGAGTGCAGCTGAAGTTTGCATAGTAATACAGTCAGGACTTCCCTTACAGTCCAATCCATTCAAATATCGGGAGGTCCCCCCCATGCCTTCCTGAAACTCCACCCAGGTTAATTGTTGTCTGTCCCCCCTCGCATCTTGATTGGACACTATTTCCACCCTGTATTAATACTCCGTTTGATACTTGGACCCTGTCTTCCATGTGGCCCTTGGCACCTGTAGCATTTGTTCTAGCTCAGCTATTAAATCCCTGAAGACACTGTACTGCTGGGAAATGACTAAGTGAAACCCTGGCAAGCTCACTCTACTACAGTTTGACTGGGTAATTGCCAGCATGCAGCTCTGTACCTAGGCAACTCAAAGGCCTCTTGGGAAGTTCATGAGTGACTGACCATGGAGCATCCTGAGGAGGACCCAGAGCTGGGCCTGTTGCTGGCCACGGAGTTCTCGGGCAAGGCAGAACCAATGCTAGGGGCCACAGTCTTTGACCAAGACTCTGGGGGGAGATGCAGAAAGAAGCAGCTGAAACAGCATTACTTCAGCCAGGTAAGGACTTGATTGACCATTGTTATGGTTAGGGGGGATATGACCTAAGGGACCTGTTCTTACCTTTGTAGAACCAATCTATACAAGGGGATGTTATATGGTGGAGGTGGCCTTTAAGAGATGCCATCTGTAGCTTCCCTTTAGGGTTTGGGAACAACCATTACCTTCACCATCCCTGGCATCCAGAGGGTAGGTTTTAGGTAAAGCTGCCACAGCGTTTCTTGCTGGGCATAGGAAACCAGGGTCTCCTTCCCCCCCCCTGCAGAACCTGGCATCCAGTAATGCCCACTCAGCACAGCAGGGAATGTAGACGTACCAACTGCCATTTCAGGAACTCTGGAATTTAGCAGCTGCAAAGTGAAGAATTTCACTTAAGGCCTTCACTCCCCTCAATTAATATCTTGATGTGACAAAGAAAGATAAAGAGGAGATTCTCTTCCTTTTTTACCCTACACCAGGGGTAGGCAACCTTTCAGAAGTGGTGTGCCGAGTCTTCATTTATTCACTTTAATTTAAGGTTTTGCATGCCGGTAATACATTTAAACGTTTTTTAGAAGGTCTCTCTCTATAAGTACATACAACAATAGTTTAGTTATATAATATAGAAAGTAATCAAAGTTTTCAAAATGTTTAAGAAGCTTCATTGAAAAATTAAATTAAAATGCCGATCTTACGCCACCAGCCTGCTCAGCCTGCTTCCAGCCTGGGGTTCTGTTCACCTAGGCTGGCAGCGGGCTGAGCGGGGCCTGCGGCTGGCAAGGGGCTGGCAGCCGGGACCCCAGACCTGGGGGGGGAGAGGGGTTCAGGGCAGAGGGCAGTGGGGGTGTTGGGGTTCAGGGCAGAAGGCTGT